TCTAGTCCTGGGATTAAGGGTGTGCACCATTGCTGCCTGGTTCCTATGGCAAGCTACTGTGGCTACCGGGATTAAAGGTGTGTGTCATTGCTGCCTGGTCTGTAAGGCTGGCCAGTGTGTCTGTTTTACTTTTCTGATCCTCAGGCAAGCTCTATTTATTAAAATACAAATGCAGTGGCACTCCATGGCTGTGTGGGGATATAGTCTCTCCTGGGAGGAGTGGCACATAGTCTGGGCTACATCAGGCACTCCTGTGGAGTTGGTGAAGATTCTGATGGTAGTGTCCTAACATTGCTGGGGGAATAATCCATAGGGACAAATTAAATCTTGCTGGGGGAGGGGAGCTAGTCAGACCTCCAGAGAGGAAGTGGTTTTCAAATTGCTATGGGGACGGTAAAGTCAAGAACCTAATTATTCTAGTACACAACTGCGCCGTGCTGGGGCCTGTCCTGATGCCATCTTAGAGATGCCCACTCTACGATGGTGGTCCCTCCATCTCCATGGAGGTGGGGATCACGTTGGTGGTACCACCTTAGCCTCTGGCTCCATTCTCCCATCACAGAAAGGCATTTCATTCTCGAGATCAGGCAGCAGGACCCAAGGAGCTGTTTTCCTCCATTGTGCAGGCATGACAATCATTAATTTTTGATTGATTTGCTTAGAATTATGGGCGCCCCAGCATTCTTTCCGCCACTGAACAGCTGTATAACAAATGAATATATCACAGTGCACAAAAGATTAGAGATCTAAGAGAAGCAATTACATTGGCCACCCTCCCCTCCCCCACCCACTCCCAGCCAGGGAAAGGAGGAAATTTTTACCAGAAATTCCTCAAGTGGCTTTACAAAAAAAAAAAAAAAGAAAGAAAGAAAAAAGAAAAGAAAAAAGAAACAAAAAAACCAAAACAAAAAAACCTTTTCATAATTGAATTAAATCTTTATTTCTTTGTCTTTTAAAGCTGATTTCCAAACACACACCATTTCTTTACATGCTTGGTTGGGTTCTGTCCATCCAGGAAGAATCTTTAAGAATGAAATCTCAACTTGTAAATTAAAACCAAAATGGAAAAGGAAAAAAAAAAGGAAGAGAGAAGAGAATGTTCATATTCTACGCCTCTTTTTCACATTTTTTTGTTGTTGTTGCTCCTATGCCTTTAAGATTTTGGAACTGTACCCATGCACTAAATGTGACCTCCATAACTTTTAAATTAAGAATTTATGCTGGCTTGAAATTTATGAAATATTTCAGCATGAAAGAAAGCCTTTTTCCCTCAGGAAAATTGAGCAATAAATCACAGCGCGTGGATTTACTGCCCTGGAGCCAGCGAGAGATAGGATTTTTTTTTTTTTTGCTTCATTCTGAAAAAAAAAATGTAATCATATAAGACAGCTTAGCTGCTGTCCTCCCACTCTCTAGAATTTTTAATTTCAGCTGTTTCTGCTTGGATTTATTTCCAATATTCCTGCTCGGCTTTTCAATTTCCTCAGTTATTAAATTTTAATTCAGTGCATTAGCATTTAAATTAAAAAAGGGTTTATTTTATCGAAATCGTTGGCCAGCCCCCATTCCCGTAGCACACGAATTGCCTGTTTCTGCCATTTGCACAAAATGTGAAATGCAGCTAATGTCTTACAACTTACATTTGCACAAATTTAGAAATAAAATTTCTGGGTTTGGAATAATATTTTCTTTCCAAGAAAACCCTTAATAAGAGAATGGAAAAGAACATCTCAACGTGCATTGGGGAGGAAAGAAGAGGGAGGAAGGAAACCAAAAATAGCCTTGCCCAGGTGCTAGAGAATCTGGGATATAAGAAATGGGTGGAGCTGGGAAAGAGGCTGGGGTATCATCGCGTGGCTGGAGGGCTACCATCTTACTCCCAGCCAGCAGGAATGAGAAGGAGGTGCCATGGACCCATACATACCTAACTGGTCATAGAGGTTGGGTTCACCCAATATGGAGTGGCAGAGGTGGCAGGGACGGGGAAGGATCTGATTTTAGCCCTCTGTGCCCACCCCCACTTTGTGGAGAGCTACATCCTTTTGGAGCATGTAGTCTCTTAGTGGAGGATGACACGTGACCTTAGCAGTCATATTATCTGAGCTGTTGCAATTTGGGCCCTCCCTAGACTTCTTGCTAAACTGTAATTGATGTCATTTGGGCCATTGGAGACAAATTTGGGGTTATGGTGGTCTGATAGAACCTATTGAGATGCCATCTTGAGCAAGGGATTCTGGGAAGTCTAGCCTGACTCTTCAGCTTTTTCAGACCATTCTCTCCCGATCCTTCTTGGCTTCTGTAACTACTTCTGAGGCTGCTAATGGCTATTATTGTGGAATCCACACTAACTACTTTAACATAGTGACCTTATTTACCTCACACCAGTCACAAAAGCTGTGCTTGCGATGTGCTGTTGCGATAGTGACATATTGCCTTGGAATCTCCCTACTGTATCCATCCTGACCCGGAATTCCCACATGGGAATGAACATTTCCGTCTAGATAATCCTTCCTCTAGCAGCTGGTACCTCGTGCTCCCGCCCCACTCTCCGCAAAAGGACTTGTTTCAACAATAGTTTGAATAGTTGGGAACATTCTGCCTTTGTCAATCATTTTTATAAAACAAGTAGGCGTGACCTCCAGCTCTGTGAAGCCAAGAATCATTGGCAGAGACACAGGTGAAGACTGTCAGGTGTGCCACCAGCAGAGCATCCATCCTCCCTTCTGCTGCACACTCACTGGCTGCACCTAGCCAACCTGGCATACAGTTGTGATGGAAAGGGCTGGAGAGATGGCTCAGCATTTAAGAGCTCTTGCTGCTCTTGTAGAGGACCAGTGTTGGGTGCCCAGCGCCCACACACGGCAGCTCACAGCTACCTATAACTCCAGCTCCACTTGGTCCTACACCTTCTAGCCTCCACAGCAACCTATGTAGGTGTGCTGCCTATAAACTCACAGACACACATAAGCAGAAATAATACACCTTTTAAAAATTGTGACGGAGAAGACATTAAAATATATAAAAAAATAAAAATATATAAAAAATGTTACAAATTTACACCCTGAGTTTAGTCTGAAAGGTGAGAGATTATTTGGAATTATACAAGTTTTTAAAACTCTCAGAGTCAGACGTCTCCTGCTTTGTAGGAGATTCCTGACACAAAAGCAGCTTTGTATCTAGTTTGAGAAATTTGGGATGCAGAGAAGTGGCCGTAGTTAATCCTGTTCCTTTGATTCCATGAAATGACGGGGCTTCCCACCGGTTTCTTCTGACATCACAGGTTGTCATTCTTTCCAAACCACACATACGGTGGCACCTCTCCTATCTTCATCTTTTCTGTTTTCCCTCTATGGCGATTGGGAGCTCCATGGTCACCTTGCTCTTCCCAAACAAAGCCCTAGAACAAAGGATTCTAGGGCTGAGAAAGGTAGCTTTGGAGTGACCTTGGTTTGTACTCATAGCTGTGAGACTTTGTATAAAGAAGGTCTTCTGAGTGAGGACCCACAGTGAGCATTACAGGGGAGGAGGTATCCATGTCCTACACTGGCACTCAGCTAGGAAGTAGACAAGGGGAGGCCGCAGGGACACTCACAGGGACCAAGCGGACGCTGGTTCTGAAAGGAGGAAGGAATGGGGACTGTGGAGAAGCAGAAATGTCACCACTGCTCGCCCATTACGGTGTATAACTGAATGTCACAACCTAGTGTTGGGTTTGGTTTGTTTTTAAGAGAAACTGAAATCATGGCCTTTTGGGATGAAACTTACTTTTTTTTTTTTTTTTTTTTTTAACATGTCAGTGGTCAGTTCAACTCAAACCCAGCCTCATAGTTTCACCAGTTTTTAACTTCTTAAGTACACATCAAAAGGTGGCCGTTTTACTTTAGATCCTTGCCCTTTGTCCACAGCTCTGATATTTAGATAGTTTGGAAACAGAAAGATCATGACCATTGGGCAGTAGAACTTGACCTGAGGGCCACAGGAGTGGCGGGAGGTGGGGGGGGGGGGTTGGGGGCTTATCTATCTTGTCATCACTCAGGAATCCATGCAGAGTGACTGTGTGCGTGTTTCATCAGGGAAATAGCCGGGTGCTAGGTTACCAGAGTGCCACTGACCCTGCTGGGGGTGTTAGAAAATGTGGGACCTGAAGTGGGGGCCTCTCTCAGTTTGGCTGGATTCTGGATAATGGGCGCATGCTCCTGAGCTTTGTACACAGCCTAGAATTACTGTGGCTGCAGGTATTTTGAGATAGCAGGAAGGGCATTGCCTGCATCCTGTGGGGGAGTAGGATCCTGGCACTGTTCACATTCCTGTAGCCTCCTTTGGTCTCAGTGCCAGAGTCCTCCTGAGCCCTGGCTAAGAGTTGTGATCCCAGGCTGTTGTCAGTTGGTCCTTGTGAGACTGGAAACAGCTTCCAGGGCCATGGTCTTTCCATCTGCACCAGAATTTTCTGATTTGTGGAAATTTCATTTGGTCAGCTTTATCTCCCCACCCCCTTACCCCCAAATAAAATGATTAAGAGCTGGCCCTCTCTTGCTTTCCTCTGCTCATAGGGTTGGGGGACAGACTATTTAACATAATGGGATTTCCCCCTCCGGTTGGCAGGGATAAATCTGCAGCCACTGTTTTATTGGAAATCCCAGCTGAAAATAAAAGCAGAGCAATTCAATCTCAGATTTAACTAGTTACTTACTTCTCACGGAGTCCCCAGGGTGTGCAGTTACTGGCTTTGTGTTGGCATTGGTGGCCTGTGTTAGCAGTGGGAGCGTGTGTTGGCAGTAGGTACTCCTGGATTTAAAGGGCCAAGCAGATGGGAATGGGTGAGCGTCCTGACTCCCTCCTGCCCTAAGGACAGGTTCTCTTGCCTGGAGGGATGGAGCAGCCATTTGGGCCCAGCCTATCCATCTGACGGCGAGTGTTCTGTGGGCATCAGGCAGGGTAGTAGTGGTAGTCAGACTGTCTTCTGCCTTGGCTGATGAAGGTGTTCTGGGTTTCTTTTGCAGGCTGACGGAGCCAGTGCAGCTGGAAGGAAAAGCACTGTTAGCAGGTACATCCCTCACCACACCTCACCCTTTCCTGCCCTTGGTCTTGGCCACTGGGAAGATGAGAAGCTTCCACACATCCTCAAGGATATGAGCTGGTGGGCAGTGCTGTACCGTCTGTGGGCATCTGTGACAGTGACTCATTGGAGAACTTAGCGAGGGACTGCTAAAGTCGGGGTGAGCACAAGTAGGGATCCCATTCAGCAGATAAGTGGCAGTTTTAGGGTGCTAGTCCAACTTAGTGTGACATTCCTGGACCCACGTACTTGGGCCCGGACTTTTGTTCTGAACCCATCACTCCAAAGCAAGGCAATGGACACTTTCTGGACAAGAGGTCCATCCTCACCCATGAAGTTGGCAGGAGATGGGAGGGGATGGCCAGAGAAGAGCTGGGTTGCATTGCTGGAGAAGGGAGAGAGATGTGAAGACACATCCACAGGCTTGATGTAGCCAGCTGACGCTTTGTAAGTTTAGTGCTAGTGCTGCTGCTGAGCCTTGTGGAAAGCTCAGGTGACCATGTGACTTTGAGGCCTTGGAGGCAGGAGAAACCAAAGGACAGAGAAGAGGGTTGGCTTCCTGGCACATATAGTCAAGAGCCTCATGGAAAAATTTGCCTTTGGGCCCCAAACACCAGTTCTTTACAATGGTGATGGACTTGTTTTTGTGGGAAGACTAAAGAGGAGGGGAAGGGATGATAGTGTCACGTTTCTTAAACCTTTTATTGAGATTCACCTACTTGGTGAATGTTCCTTGGAACACCCTTTGTGAATCCTTGGGAAGGACGTCCTTTGGGTTGAAGGGCGATGTGTTCAGCCTTGTTTCAGCAGCCTTGTGTACGGTGAACAGAGAGGGTTTGTCATGACACTAAGCGGGAGGTCCTTAACACATGTAACCTCTTACGCTCAGGTACATATTTACACAACGCGTTACGCAGTGTGAGAGATTGATAAGTGGGGGGATACAGGAGCAGATATGTGGGCTGGACTGGAAGAGAGACTGCTCCTATGACAAAATATCCTGACAGAAACAGCTTAGAGGAGAATGGGTTTGTTTTCTCTCACAAACCAGGGTGCAGCCGATAGCAGGGAAGCCAGTGTAGCAGTCTCCTGAAACGGCAGATCCACAGGGCTAGACGAGAAGGAGCAGGTGTGTGGTCCAGTGTGACAGTTTCTCGCTGAGACTCTCATCTCAGGTGATCTTGGGTGTGTCAGGGTTACAGCTGAACTCAGGCTGGTTGGTCAGGCCAGGCCCGTGAGCGCTGTGGCAGCATCTCTGGTGAAGCTGGTGGCCAGCAGTGCTCTGGATGCAACTTCTACAACCTGGTGGTGGACTCTGTTTATCTGTGTCAGCAGCCCCCAAAGCAGTGGCTCCCTTCAGCTCAGAGCTGGAGGGGCCTGCGGTTCGTCTAGAATCTCATTGTACATGAATGGACACTAAGGCCTTGGCCAGGAGCTCTCCTGCTCGGGGTCATCAGAAGAATGAGTGACTGGGCCTGAAATGGTGTCCTCCCCTCTCCTACGCTCAAGTGGGCGTGTAGCCAGCTGGTCCCCCCTTCTTCCATGTCTGCCTTTCACTTGCTGAGGTAGGCCTTGTGCTGTGTGCTCAGATGGATCAAGTAGTCATTGATCCAGCCGGCTTGTGTGTGCCAGACAAAGTTCAAAGTGTTGTGTCCAAAGCCGTGCAGGGACACGAAGCTGCATCCACAGTCACTCAGATGGGAATGCGGTTCTTGAGTTTATCATCTGATGCAGGGAACTCTCCTGCTGTGGAGCATGGATCTGGGTCATTGTAGCCAGAGCACATAGATGGGTTTTCCCATAGCGCTGGTAGTAGTGATTGTGCACTGACTCCAACCTCGTGACCACAGTCAATGAAGAAGAGTGTAGAGATCGATTATTGGTTCCTACCCAGGGAAGGGTAGAAGAAGGGTTGTGTGTGTTATCTTTTCCTGACCAGCCTGGGCTCTCCACCACATACTTTTAGGGACCGTATGCCTTGTGAGGTACATATTTGTATTTTTCTGAGTTTTTGCTGAAGTATAGGAATTAATGTGCCCAGGGATGTCAACTAGAAAGATGCAGGAGGGCCATGCTGCCTGCCAGGTCTGACTTCTCTGGTATCTTTGCCCACTCTGCTCTCCTGCCACTCCAGGTCTCAGTTAGGAGTTCAGTGGCCAGGTAGGGGCTCTGGAGGAGAGGGTTTGCAGTCTAGTGGGTAGCTGGGCCTGGTGGTATAGGCTGGTGACCCTGACTGCTTGGAAGGTTGACAGGAGCCGACCTGTGTTACAGAACGTGTTCAAGACTAGCCTGAGTAACTTAGGGAGGACCCCATTCAAAATTAAAAAAAAAAAAAAAGTAAAGAAAAGGCATTAGAAAAGGAAAAGGCTCCTGTGTGTGTGTGGTTCTGTGAGTGAGACCAGCAGTGCCCAGAGCCGTGCTTCCCCACCTTCCTGCTGCTGCTGCCGCTCCTGCGGTTCCTTGTGTTGTGCTGACCCCAACCAGAAGTTTCTTTTCATTGCTACTTCATAACTGTCATTTTGCTACTGTTATGAATCATAATATAAATATCTGTGTTTTCTGGAGGTCTTAGGTGACCCCTGTGAAAGGGTTGTTAGACTCCAAAGGGATCATGACCCACAGTTTGAGAACTGTTGTTCTAAGTGACCACAGTGTGGCTGGTGAGTGAGTAGCTCAGTGTCCGCAGGAGTGACTGACATATTAAAGCACCATGAGAACCTAAGCTAATGCCTCTAGAGAGTGTGGTCCTGGGCAGGTAGGGTACAGTGGACGCTGGAACATTAGAGTTTACTGAGCCAGTTTCAGATGGAAAGATGAAGGTTTCAGTTCCCTCCCCCCTCCACCAGTAAAGACTGAGACGAGAGAGCCATGGGCTTCAGAAATGACCTTGAAGAGTGGACAGCGCCCACTGTAGGCCCATGCAGCCAGTCAGCCATGCGCCCTGTTATCCCTGTGCCCTCTTTTGGGCCTAGAACACTCAATTTTGTTATTTTTCCTGGGGGCCTCTGGCTAACCCCCAAAACCAACAGCATGGCCTGCTAAGGAGTTAGAGTTAAATTGAGGGAAACGTGGAGAAGCGGTGTTTCCGGTGTTAAGGAGCACACGAATGTGGTTTACTGTACTTCCTGGCAACCCAGGCTGGGCTGCTTTTACAAGCCCAGGGTTCTGGTGCTTGGGTGGATGCTGAGTTGATGCTCAGGTTGCTCCTGACATCCCTGCACAACAGCCAAATGCTGCTGTTCCAAGGGGCAGAGGGCCGTTAGTGGGAAGTCTAGAGGAAACACAGGCTTCATGGTTAAACAGATATAGACACCTCTAGATGTCTTGAAAAACTGTGCCCATTTTGCCTGTGGAAAGGTCCTAAAGAGCTAGTGAACCCCGCCTTCACCTCCAGCCAGATTTAAGAGAGACACAGGTTTGCACAGGAACCTGAAGATGGGAAAGCCAGGTCTCATTCATTCACTCATTCTTTGCATAAGGTACTCCTAAATGCCTAGGTTCTGATGATACTGCAGTGGGCTCAACAGACTCCAGGCCCTGCCCTCGAGGAGTTGGGGTTCTAGTGGAGCAAGTACCTGTTTGTGGGATCTAATGAATGTCTTGGTAGAAAGAGAGGAGAGGGTGGCAGGGGATTGTGAGAGTCTGTTCTTCAACTTGGATACTCAGTCACTAAAGTCACTGGGGAGGTGAAGGGGGCTAAACCTAGTGGTTCTTTGAGGGAAGCACGTACCAGTCAGAACTCCAGATGCCAGGCCCTGGGGCTGGGGGCCCTGTCTGGGGCATGTCCTTTGCATTGGAGAAAAATCAAAGAGGCTTCCTAGTCCCCAGAGGCCATTGCCAAGACTTTGGCACTTGCTGTTCTCCACATCGGGAGCCACTAGGGATTTCAGCAGAGATGAAGCTATATTTGATTTGAAAAGGGTCATTGTGCCTTTAAGAGGACAGGAGTTGGAAGCAAGATGTTAGAAGCGATACTGCCGGGGGTTCAGTCACCTGGGACTGTAGAAGGTAAGCACATGAGGGACTGCTGCGTTTTGAGCTCCAAGGACACTTCTGAAAATGCACAGGCTGTTTGGTTCTCGGCAGCCCCAGACTGGGCAGTCATATCCGCACGGCGCCCCTCTCCCCGACCTTGTACCCCCTGCTTAGTTGGTTAATTCTACATCTTCTCTGCCTTCCCTCTAGCCAAGCTGAGGGCCAAGCAGCTCACACAGAGTCTGTCTGGGTTCAGCTCCTGGTGTTGCCACTGCCTGATTGTTAGCTGGTCTTCTGCATTTTGGTTTCCTCATCCGGACAGTGGAGGTTGGATCAGTTCCATGCCTCAGTGTGCTGCTAATGTGCATGCACTCAGCACAGTGCTGAGACATAGCAGCTCATCTGTGGACACCTGCTTCACTTGCCACCATGCTGGCCGGGTATAGGGGAGGGTAAGGATGGAGGTTGGTTGTTGAGGGACCCTTGAGATCTGGCCAAAATGCCTTGACATCACACATGCTCTCTTTGTTCCTCCGAATACCTTCTAAAGCAGTGTTTAGCGTCCTCCAGATGAAGCTGAAGATGCCCAAGGTCACCGCTTAGTTAAATGGCTTTGGGCTTAGCTGAGTCTTACCCTTAAAGCCAAGGCCTTTCACCAGTAGACTATGTAGTACTGACCTCATGTGTGAGCCTGCATAACCAATTCTTCAGGGAGTAAATCTTGTTTAGCATCCTGGTTTTCAGCAGTAGAATAAAGGCTGGCCCATACAAACCCCTTTCATTAGCCCCAGCTTTCCATAGTCACCTAGAGCCAGTGGATGGTACGGTGTAGAAGGAAGAGACTCTTTCAGTCAGGAAGCTTCTTCCTCTGGCTCCAGGCTTATGCTCTGAGTGACAGAGCTTGGATGTGATATCCAGAAATGGCCCTTCTCCCTCTGCCAGACTCTAGGCTAAGTGTGGGTCCTAGACCCTCTCACACTGAAGGTTGTCTGTGTCCTTGCTCCATGGGACCC